CACACACACACACACACACACACCTCGAGCTTTGATAACAGTGGACATGAACGGTCAGGTCACACACACCTGGTAGAGCTCAATCCTCTGCTCGTTTTTCTTGGCCATGTGGTTGTTGATCTTCAGGGCTCGAAACTCGGCCCGGAATAAGTTGGTGGCGTTCTTCTCTAGGATCGACACATTGAAGCGGAATACCTTGGAGGTTGTACTCTTAGTGCAGTGGAGGTCATCTGCAGGTAAAGACAATGAAAAGAAAAGTTTTCGTCAGTGCTTTTAAAACATTTTTTTCTTCTTTATGAGGGGGTATTACGTATTTTCCAGGCACAATATACAATTCTATACCACAATCAAGTAACCTTCAGTTGTTATGAAAATGCTGCATAAATCAAAAATTAATTTGACTTTGCATCAAAGCCTATCTAAACACCTTGAAATTGGCCTCTGTCTCTCTAAGAACCTCCTACTGTTTCCCACACTCCCACTTCAGCACGTCTTCATGCACTGAGGGAGGGGTGCTCTGTGGGGCGGGAGCTTGGCTGAGGACTGAGCTCCAGGGAGGAGCTTTGTACAAATAGGCGGTGCTCTGTGCCAGCCAGTGTTTAGGCAGCTCCACATGGCTACCAGAGGAGATTCAAGGATTTCTCAAACATGCATGAATGAGTCAAAGCAACACTCTGTATAGATTTTTGATGAGGGAATGACATTAGGATATAAAGCTAAAAAAAGGAATTTTGCATAATACCTCCTACCCACCCCCTTTTAAAGCAAGTCAGATATCTCAATCTTTTATCTGTTAATCATTCGCTGTCTCATAATGGCCATGTTATTGGAGCCTATTTTTTCCAATAAATTTAAATCATTTACAGAAAATAAAAACTGAATGTCCCATCTCTTTTTAACTATTTCAATCTGTGGAGCCATTTTCACCAAGCATCTGCTTATGCTTTGTGCCGTAGGAATTAGCAGCAAGTTGAGGTCATGAGATGAGAACCAAATGGTCCGTTTGGTTGTGGCGAGGCTTGCAGTGGGACAGCAGCGTGCACCTCTTCCTCCTTTTAGCAGCACTTTAGCCTAGCAGGTGCTCTGAAGCTCAGACCGAAGCCACGTGTCTTTGAACTTAGAGGTTTAGCCACGTCTGTGCTCATGTGCTGCTGCAGAACAATACCCGAGCAACTGCTACACGGAGTATCATGGAAAGCCTGCTGTGCTGCATGTTAATTATGTGTGTATGTGTATGTGTGTGTGTGTGTGTATCACTGCCTCCAGTATGAGCTTTACAAATGCTCTTTTTGTGGGTCTATCAGAAAAGCTTCCTGTTACACCGAAGCCTCCCCCCTGTTTTTTTGATTCCATTATACCACTGAGGAGTTTATTATTTTAACAGGCAAAGCACATGCAGCGTTGAGCAAAACAAGCACATAGCAAACTTTTTATGAGGCAAGTGGAAACAGTCATTTACAGCCAAGCTATGGCTAATTTATTACCTCAAGCCCAAGCTTTATTACCAAGGCCTGCGATTCACTGGTGATTGAAAGGCACAATTCACCTTCAGCTGAGAAGAACGAAAACTCWGATTGGTCCACATCTCCGAATGTCTGTACTTTGTTTGACCCATAGTCCGCTTTCAGTGTCCTCCCTGTGATTCTCTGTTGTTTCCAAACAGTTGTTGTTTTCTTTTCTTTTGAACTTTCCCTATTTGTAGGTGACCTTTTGAAGCGTTCTTCCACAGCCAGATATCTGTCCAGTATTTCCACACAATCTGTGAGGAGGAAACCTCAGTAGCCTTTTTCCTCCCCTCATTTACTGTTCTGTCCCGCCTCCCCCACAGAAGGTGGAAAGCCCCACTTGGAGAGGAGATTTGAAATTCTAATCAAGTTTTTGGTTTCCTTTTGGATGACCTCATTTTTCCCATTGCAACGGTTTTAGGATTCCACATTACGACTTACACTCACCGGCCACTTTATTAGGTACACCACACTAGTAACGGGTTGGACCCCCTTTTGCCTTCAGAACTGCCTCAATTCTTTGTTGCATAGATTCAACAAGGTGCTGGAAGCATTCCTCAGAGATTTT